AAATTATGTGAAAGTCATGAAAGCAACCATTATTGAGAACGCAAAAGGAACATGGAGCTGGAAAACTCGTTGCTAGAAAGGTCACTTTCCCCTGAAATTCTCTTTAAATTTTCAAAGTTTATTTCTTCTGGCAAAAACCCAAAAAAATCACTTTCTTCGTCGCTACTCGAACTAAAATAATTGCATGTGACCATTTTGTATTGAAAGATGAACAAACTAAACCTCTGAACTTTCAATTGTTGTTTTCTTCAGATTTCTGACCGTGACCTACCCAAACATTTAACCATGTGAATCTATATTGTTCAAACTACAACATGGTATTGTCTGAATAAACAATTAGAGAGAAAAATTACTACATTAGCCAATCAGAACTCATGTTGTCGCATAGCAACAGTGCGGACACGGAACACAATTAAATATATTGTCGTGTGGCAACATTCGGGATACAAAGCATGAAAAGGAATGTTGTCACACAGCAACAATCCGAGTATATGAGTTAAGTAAAACGGCAAGAAGGCAAATGCTTAATGCAAGATTTGCTTTCCATATTTTACATGAAGAATATCACTTTAGTGTTCACCAAAATTAGTGGAATCGATTGATGTATAAATCTATTTAGCTGAAAGACCTTGTGAAATAAAAACCCTTTTGAAACCAACATACCATATTTGTTGCCTTCCTGTAAGCTTTGATGACAGCCTGTGGGTGTACACCATCCTCAACAATTTGTTTAATTTGTTTCATAAATTCTACAGCAAGCAATACTACACTTGTAGTGCCATCACCAACCTAAATAAGACACAAAAGATATTAAATGCCAAAAGGAAATAACTATTGACAACATAAATAGCACTAGATAAGTATATCAAGGGAGACATTTTTTCTCTCAACTGCAAATATCCTATCACTAGCTCTCTTAATTTCTTTGCATAACTTCAGCCTCACATGTTTCTTGTTTTGTTGTTTTGCAAGTGAATTTCTTGTGCATAGTAGTGTCCGGATATAACATTAACTTGATAAAGTAATTAAAGCTTCTGTCTGGGATATTGCACTTGTGCTGCAGTTTTATTTTCAGCAAAGAAAAATTATTTGATATATATTACAATGTCAATCCTGATAACTTGTTATTGTAACTGTTCTTTCAATGCTATTTTGCTCATTGCTTTCTGTTGTTCTATATAGCTATTGTTTTTTTCTTCAATTTTTACTGGTATTTCATTGCTCGAGTTTTGTTGAATTTCAGTCTGCCTTGTTTCTTCTGCTGTTCTTATTTCTTGGGCAAATCTCAGCCTGATGTTTCTTATAAGGGTTGTTCTTAAAAAAATGTGTAAATCAATCAAGGGATCTTATAACATGTCATTCTAATACTCAATATGTAACAAAAACTATAAAACAACACAAAATACGCAAAATGCAAAATGTCAGGTCTTAAAAAATAAGCAAGAAAATGACTATGATGCATGAAAAAGCACTTTTCTTTTGTGATCAATCTTTGTTAATAGCCAGAATACTATTGAAATGAAAAAAATTTGTAAAACACAATAGCCTTTTCATTCTAAATCAGTTGCACACTGATCCTCTGTATCTTAGAATTGTCATATGTGCAACAAAAAGTTTTCACTGAAGATATTAAAGCTTTATAAAGATTACAAACTTTGTTATTACAAAAACTTTGGAATACTCTACCCTCTTCCAGTTACCTAGACTCTTAAATCTGTCTTTATTCAAAACATATTTAAACAACCTTGATATTTCTTCCCTCTCTACCAAAAACTTTCTCCTTTTCTCTTGTTAGGGCTTAGCTACCTTCATATATTAGGTAACTTCATACAGAAAGATTAAGGCAAGAAAGTGTAATTTGTCAAGATAAAGGCAGCATCACATTAAAAAAAACCTCTAATTGTCACTATGTAATTAATTTCAACCAATACCTCAGCATCTTGAGATTTTGCAATGTCTACTAATGTCTTTGCAGCTGGATGAACAATATCCATAAGTTTAATAATTGTTGCACCATCATTTGATATTGTTGCTTTGCCTGTGAAAAAATACCTTTGTTATCATGCACTGCTTTTTAAATGTATACTTTAAAAAAATAGATTGAATCTCCAATATATGAAGTGGCCTCTACCTTGAAGGCCAAATCACATTTTAAAGTCTCAATAATTTTTTTAAAACAGAGATTTGACCAGAGGGCATCACAAATTTGATACAGTCATTTTAGTTTGAATATTCAAGCACTTAAACACGGGGTAAAATGATGGGTTAATCAATTTGTAAAGATATGAAGTCAAAAAAGAAGTTGATTGTAGATCTTTAGATATTTGTATTGAAATCACTGATGCTAAATGTTAGAATGATTTGTTTGCTGAGTGGGTAGGAAAAAATCACATCATAACTGAAGCATTAAATATGGAGTTAGCATCTAGAAATTGATGTAATGCAGTATGTTGGAGTTAATGTCTAGAAAAATATATTAATTTCAACCAAGCTTGAAAGCTTGCATATTCTCTCAGGTATGATTTAGATTGACATCAGTATATGTAGCAGCAAGGATTTATGTTGGTTGCAGCTAGGGGTAGTCAAAATGATGCATTCTATCCAAAATGAATCATAACTAGGAAATTATTGTGATTTATATAGGAATGCATAATTTTTGTTGTCAATTCCATGCCAATTTGACACCAATAAAGTAGAATGTATTTCATAAGAGAGTTTAGTAAAACAGAAAACCAGCTCTCTTTTGCACTTGCAGCAGGTGAAACGCTTCCTCTATTTAACATACTTGAAGAGTATTTGTTCTGAAAATATTTATTATTCTAAGTGAGTTGCTCTTCAATTATAGAGAATACATCAAGAATACGTGAATTTCCCTGCTCACCTCTTCTAGGCAAAGAAGATGCAAAACCAATAAGAATTAGCTGGTATTTTTAGTTATCTTATGTATGGTAAATGAAATATTTAGGGGAGTGGTTGGGCGGAGTTGCATCGGACATATAAAAAGGCATACCTTGGGCATCCACTACCATCTTGTCCATTCCTCTTGGACCAAGAGTTGTTCGAAGCGCGTCACCAACAACTTCACATGCATTGATATTGCTCACAAGTTGCGGAATGCCTTGTGATGTATCTGTCCCCTCTTTTAGCAGAATTATCTGCGGACGCTAGCAAGATAAAGAGGAGAGAAATAAGCCAATTTTGAAGAAAAGAGTTTAAAAGACCAGCTTTACACATCGATAATGTGAAAAAATGGCATTTTTCTTTTCAGAAATAACCGATTAGCTAGATTCAAATGGATTTAATAGGAACTTACCGCGCCTCTTGGTACCATCATCTGCGCCATTTTGTGATTGAGTAAAGTGAATGTTCGAGAAACTGCCGCTATAGCCTCCCGCTCCTACGCAGGGGTTGCCTCGTACACCTGCTCTTCCAAAACAGAATGGATTAAACATTTTCAGTGAATATTTGAAAATGAAATCAATCCCAAAATAGATAAACCATGAAAAATTTTGGATAATTTCTTTCCGTTTGATTCATCAAAAGGAGCCCTTTGGTATAGAACATAATTACAAGTTTGAGCCTTTAACTAACCTCGAGTCCAACACCAAATCTGGCGGGAAAAACAAACCGGGCCTAGTCAGCCACTGCCAGGGATAGTTTGTGGCCACGGTGTTTCACAGTAGAAGAAGTCGATTAAAGTTCGCTGATCGTAGTATTGCTGCAGAGCCGGTGTAATTGAAATAATGGCCGCCCTTTCCAGTGTCTCCCTTTCAGATGTATCGAAAGATTTGCTGAGATCTTTAAAAGAGTGTAATGCGCGCGGTCTTATTCACTCGGCAAATTGGTAAGAAAATTCATAATGCTTTAACTGTTTTGGCTGAAGGCCCTGAATGGAAGGGTATTGTTCTTTACCTCAGGAAATTAAAGATGCTAGAGATATCTTCTGATGAGTGGAGTTCTCAGAAAATCAGAAATCTGATCTAGTAATGGTTGCAAGCAGGGGCTTTTCAGAAAAGATCGTCGATTGTATGAGAAACTAATGAAGGATTGACTTTGATTTCTTTGATTTCAAGGATAAGCTTTTATAGAATTTATTGTACAGGGAAAAATGTGCATGTCTTAAAATTTAATTGGACATTCCACTTGTCTTTGCTCCATGACCTCATGACATAAAACTATCATTTTCATAAGCAAGGAGTCTCAGCCCATCTTATTTTTTGTTAAACCCGATCTTGAAGTATCAATATTTTCAGCTATTTTATTTTAGGGCAATTGAATTGGTTTCTTCGCTTCCTCCTTTAAAGACCCTACCAACATTTGAAGAAGAAGCAACAGAGGAATTCAAAGATGATTTTTATTCATACAACTTGGCCAAAGGCTATTTTGATTTAAAGGAATTTGAAAGAGCTTCACATGTTTCAAGAAACTGCAGGAGTCACAAAGGATATTTTTTGCACCTGTATTCACTGTATATGGTACTTTAAATCGAGTTCTTGATTTTATAAGCAGATGAATTTCTACAAGAGCCATTTTGTTAGAACACTGGCTTCAAACTTGATCACTAATTGACAAAAAGTTAAGAACAAGCTGAGAATTTGGTACTGTAAATGTGAAAAAATTGTTTTTAAGTATATATCTTTTATAACTTATAAAAAGCTCAAGTTCTTATAAAAAGAGTGTATTTATATCAGCAGTAATTACAGAGAGTTTTGCAGTATCTTCTAAAAATAAATTTTTTAAAACTTAAAAATTTAGTGATAATTTCTTTAAAATTTCTTAATAGAAAACAGCAGCTCACATTGGCCAAGGGCTTTCTAGATGAATTTACAAAAGCAAGTTTTGCTAGATTTCTACATTTTCACAAGTTTTGATGCATCCCTGTAATTAACATCAATCAGAAAATTTGAAGATTTGCGAGATACCAGTATTCACCTTACTTCCCTAGAGTGGTGAAAAGAAGAAAAGATACCAAATGGTAGATGTTCTTGGTAGGTATATTTGTTCATATAATATTTTGCCCATATCAAGATTGGAGGACATTTTGTCACTACAGATTAAACAACTAGCATTGAACTGGCAATTTTTATTTGCATTTATTCGCATGATAGAATGAACTTATCCGTTAAAGTTGATGATGATAACCTAATGACCACTGAGTACAGTATATCATTAATCTTCAGCCAACAACACAAAAAATATTTGGTATAAAGTTAGTTTCAAAAGACAGATTTCGAAAACATGGGAAAACCAATACCCATGCCTTTTGAAAAATTGACATTTTTAACTGATCAAGTTACACCATTGGAATCCTATTTAAAGTATTAAAAACCAAAGTTCTAGCAACCCTCGGACTGGTCATTTATACCAAACTGTTTTTGGGGTAAGGAACTCTGTCATTCTTGTTGCCTTAGTTTTAAATCTTTTGCTGACGTCTGGTTAATGATGTGTTTTTCAAATACATTTTTAGAACCAAGTAGCAAAGCAGTTGAAAATGAAGAGTTGAGAGGACTTAGGGCAGAACTACAGAACAATATTGATAAATTGGATGGATACTGTTTTTATTTGTAAGTTGAAAGATATACACTTATATTGCTATGCATTATATTTTTATTTTGCTGAACAACATTTCTCCTGCCACATCTTATACATAATACAAGGATAACAGGGGATAACTGGTAACTGTGCTTGTAAGATATGCATTGCTGTGCTGACACAGAAACAGTTATATTCATAATTTTTTCCAGCCTTAATTATATGTTTAGTCTCCTATCTCTTTGATCTAAATTGCTTTGTTGTTTTTCAGATATGGTGTTGTGTTAAATGGGTTGAGTCTGTATACTGAAGCAATTGAAATGTTGTTGAAGGCTGTGGAAAAAGAACCTGTTCACTGGGGTGCATGGAAAGAGCTTGCTTCAATTTGCAAAAATAGAGAAACTGTAAGTGGTCCCTCTTGTGGTACCAAATTATTGTTCTGCACAGTTTGGATTTTTGACATCATCTTCCATTAAGCCATTCATTGTGCAAGGTATCATTTTTTATAGTGGTAAGAGTGAGAAAACAACTACCTTTTGTGTCCCGTGTCTTGCTTGAAAAGCTAGGAATGTACTATTCAGTGATAAGGGTAGTCTACTGTGATTTTGAATTTTAAGAAAATTATTAGGAAAAGATATTTTGAAATTTTTTTTGCACAGATTGAAAGCTATACCTACTTTTTGAAATTATTTATAGAGCAGTGTTCCATTAATCATTTTACAAAAAAATAATTAATTAAAATTCAAACAACCTAAGTTACTGTACAAGAAAGATGATACACTGTATATTTCCTATTGCAAATTGTTATCCAATAAAAAGGAAAAATTATACAATTTCTTAATGGTCAATGTACTTACTTTACAAACATATTTTGTTTATTTTCGTGAAGCTTCAAAACCTGAAGTTGCCAAATCACTGGATGGCAGAATTCTTTCAAGCTCAAGCAGAACTGGAGGTGCAAATGACAGAAGAGGCCTTAAGAAGATATGAAAATATCTGTTCTGCTGGCTTTGCAAAAAGTACATATGTTAAACAGCAAATGGCATTGGCTTATTATAATCTGAGGGGTAAGTGACATCAAAGCCAAATAATCATATTCAGATTGCATGTCTTAAACATCAAAGTTGGAAAGCCACAGAAATAAAATGTTTTGCTTTCAATTAATAACAATATAATTATAAGAATGTCTGGCTTAGAGACCCTGCCCCGCCTCCTCTACTTTAGCACAGCCAGTGAAACATTTCAATCTTTATTCATAGGTTTAGGGGCTGATATGACCATTGAACAAAACATATTGCAGATTAATCATAATATTTGTATTACATTTATCTATTTTTTAGAAAGCAATTGTAGTAGTGGAAAATACAACAATCATAAACTGAATCTTTGTAGACCTGTTGCCAGCCAACAACAAAAGCTCTATATTTACAGGACCTTCCCTTGTTTATCAACATTGTGCTTCCTGCTTTCATAATTCTCTTTGTCAGAAACGAAAGCGTCAATGAGGATTAGCCAATTTTGGGTTGACTGGAGAAATGTACTCACAATTGAGACATGTTTAGAGTCTGCTATTTATCTTTAGATTTTGTTCAAGCAACGGAACACTTCAAAGATCTTCAAACCAAGGACCCTTACATGTTAGACCATGTTGACACTTATTCAAATATTCTTTACATCCAGGTAAGTCAGTTGTTTTTAATGTTATGAAAGCAGTGGCAAATGCTACAGGTGCTTCATAAAAGTGACAGGAACATCATGCTTTTGTTTCGCACAGCCATAAAGACTGTTTCCTAAACAGTATTGATTCTTCCCAGATTTTCCCAGATACAGATTACTGGAATCTACCAGCCTTACAATCCAAACTAGACAGTAAGCCCTGACATGTGAAAATAGACCATGACCATGTGGTTTATGTCCATGTAGGGGTACCCACTACCTTTCAAATAGGGATCCTGTGCTAGTATAACTTTGGTTACCAATTTATAACTAAGAGTAAAGGTGCAAGGAACTCCATATATTTTGGGGTGAAGATTACTGTAAGGTAGTCTGCTGCAGGCCTCTAGTGTGGAGCAAAAAGCAGGCACTTGACAAATTGAGCACCTTCAGCTTTCTAGGTGCTTGATTGAGTATCATAAAAAATCATCAATATCATTATTTGGTTTTTTGCATTTAGTTTTTAGACAGCATAAACACTGTAGGTGCTCGATCAATCAAGCTCCTAGAACTTTCTAGGCATGTGTGGAGTTGCTTGATAGAGCTTGAGTGCCTCCCCTTACAAGCACGGCTTGATGTCCTGTAAAAAGAGTTGTACATGCTAAGCTAGTTGCCTGGTGATAGGAGTAGCTGTTAAAATTTGAAGTATCCAATAAGAATCATTTGGTCCTACAGACTTAAATGATTATAGTAGCGGATTATAGTACTTTCTTCTTACCAGTAGCTAAAATGATGTTTTATCAATCAGTTTAACAAAGTGAAATATGCAGATGTCTCATCTCCCTGCTGGGAAAATTGTATTTGAGCATTTGTTATAACAAAAGGTCTTCAAACAGTATGAAATATTTAATAAAAGATTACATACTTGTTATACTTTTTAAAAACATATTTATGCTAAAAATGCCATAAAACAATATATCAATTTTGCGATTGGAATTCAAGCCCTTTATCGCAATTACAGGACTCAAAAGCTGAACTGAGTTACTTAGCTCACAGAGTTGCTGAAGTGGACAAATACAGATATGAATCTTGTGGAGTTATAGGTAAGTGTAATTTCCCCTAGTAGAAAGCAATAGACAATGGAACATTCAAGGGGTGGGGAAGAGGGCTGTAGGTTTAGTTACATTCTTAGGTACATACATACTTGTCACTTAAATATTCAGATTTTCTCTAGTTTTGTATGAACTATGCCATCTGTTTGTCCAGTTATGCATGGAAAATGTACCGAAATTATTTTTGCAGAACTAAACTTGATCAGCCATTATAAAGTGGCACATATATATTCAATATAAATAGAAAGAGTTCAGAATTTTTGTTAGTATCTGTTGCAATTTTCCCCTATTTAACTAGAATAAGGCAAGTCTAAAATTCTCTATATGTGTATTATTGACTCACACACTTAGGGTTGTGTATGTTTACATAAATCAGCAGCTAGAAGAGCATCAAAATTGTGCTTCTGGAATCCTAACAATAAGCATCTGATAACCCAGCGTCATTGGACAGATCATCGATGATAATAATTAAGAGGTCTTGAGGCTTAAGTTGGTCAATGGCTTGGCTCTATAATTTCTGCATAACCCCTTTTACCTGAACTCCCAACACTTGCCCTTTAGCTTTGGCAATACTGAAACCGATTGAAGGTTGCAACAGATAAGCCATTGGGTGAAAATTCTTTTCTCTTAAAGAAGTAAAACTGAAGAGTAGCCTCTTAGTAGTCTTTAACAAATCATCTTTTCTATTTGTGGAAAGTCGATAAAAGGCTTAACTTTTTAAGCCTTCAATTCTTTACATGTGCTTTAAATGAAGTTAATGGTAGTAATATATACTCTAGGAAGCAAACTTTTTGAATACATATTATTTTTAGGTTTTAACCAGAGGCCCCCTCCAAAATAGCGTCTACTGTGGGTTACCCCCTTTGAAGTAATAAATGTGTGTATCTTTTTCGTTTAAGGAAATTATTACAGTCTTAGAGGACAACATGAAAAAGCAGTACTGTACTTTCGTCAAGCATTAAAACTGAATCCGCAACACGTGGTCGCGTGGACGCTCCTTGGCCACGAGTACGTAGAATTAAAGAACACATCAGCCGCAATAGAGTCATACAGGAGAGCTACTGGTAAACTCGTCATTCTTGCTTGTATTTATGAACCGTTTTAAAACGGAGTTTAGACTGGGGTTTTTAAAATGTGATTTCTAATTTTTATTTTAAAAAATCAACGAAAATAAGAACCCATGTCAGGGTGCTTAAAACTGAAATCCTAAAAAGATCAATAGTTTCGATTCTCAGACCTAAAGACAACGTAAAACCTCAAACATTTTGAAACATATTAAAGCTTTTCGTCTGACACTTTTCACAGTATAAAACGTCAGAACATAGACCGAAAAATCTCCAGGTCATGAAGTGTATCTATGCAGTCATAATATCAACTTGAAGATTCATGACAAAATCATAAAAGACGAGAAATGTTACAGTACTATAAAAATCATCAAAATTGTCATTAGCCTTGACTTATGGAATTCTGGATGTCAATCAAGCATGGTTTCGTGTATGCCTATTTGGAGTATTGTTCAGAGAAAACTTCTTTTTGCGCAGTTAAACATCACTCTTTGAACACGGGAAACGTCACTGTTCCGCGAAGAACCCATTCATAGTCACCGACCGTTTCTAGATTTTTCACGAAATAATGTTTTTTATCACTACACGAAATTGCTGCATCGTTGAATAAGATGTATTGTGGCATGAAGCCTAAGCTTTCGTGCACAATCTTTTGGGTATTGGTTCCTGAATATAACGCCAAATGCTTTCTCTTCAACCCTTATATTTTGTTTCAGACCTGTACTCTTATTGATGTTGCTAGTAGATAAAGATGCATTTGTAATCAAGATTTGGAGATAAAAGAATTGAAGAAAATGAGATATTTTGTCTTACTTTTTTCTCAGTGCCGCCTTGAATACCTGTTTTTTTAGAGGCAAGTGCAAAGGACTACAGAGCGTGGTATGGACTTGGTCAGACGTATGAAATATTAAAGATGCCCTACTATTCGCTTTATTACTACAACGAAGCATATAAACTAAGGTTCGTTCAAATATTTTCGTTACTTTCTCAGTACTCAGTTTTCTGAATTACAGTTGAATATTCATGTGAAACTGCACTCTTGTAAAATGGCCATCAATACTCTTAGGTTAACCAAGGAATTACAAGTGCTATGAAACCACGCACCTTACCAAGCACCCTACCAAAATGCTCACGAGAAAAAAAGCTACATAGCATTGCACATGACCCTGTAGAATGGGTACTTTGTAAAATGCGAGGAAGCACGTCTCAAAATGCTATCAAATATCAACTCAGGATTGATCAATCAAAGGACAATTGCTCCTCATGAAGTCAACTCTGATTAGATTACATCTAATTTTCTTTAAATCTATTTTCTCTTTTTTCGGTAGACCCCTGGTCAGGATTCGGTGAGTAACACTACAGATGGAACCCAACATTTATTTGAAAATACTCTTTTGCTTTCTAGGCCTTACGATTCGCGGATACTGATAGCTTTGGGTGATACATACCATAGCTTGGACAAAAACGAGGAAGCTAAAAAGGTATTCACGTTAGCAGAGCATTCCTGTATAATAAATATACAAAGTTTTATGATTTCTGTAGTAGCAACTATGCACATCTCTAAAGTATGACATCGCTGAAGCACATTTAAGAATGTTATATTTTGTCCAGAATCAATACCACCAACATGGAAAAATTGATCCGTATCACTGTTTCATAATAGGTGTATTTAGCCTGCGTTACATACCGTAACTGAGGAGGAGTTATGGTCTGTGACGCTGGCTAAGGTGTCTTGAAACTAAAAAAAGTTGCGAGAAATGCAAGAGACAATTAGATTACCAGCTTTTATATTCATCTATTGCAGTGCTATCTGAAGGCTTTTAGAATTGGTGACCCTGAAGGACAAGCTTCAATGAAAGTTGCAAAGTAAGTATGAAGATTGTGTCGTAAATATTTCAGTCGTCATTACACGTGTTCATGTCGATGTTTTCACGTGACCATGAGCTACATTTCCCTTGATTTCCCTAGTCTCCCGAGAAGAGCTGTTCTCTGATACAATGGTTTAATATTGTTTTGGAAGTCATGAAACTTTGAAATGACTGTAAATGAAGATTTGTGGAGTAAAATATGAATATGAATAGAAAATATTAGTTAACTGCAATCAGAGATAAGGATGCTGGATCAGAGGAAAAGTGCAGTCGAAAATCGTTAATTCAACAGTAAGTAAATGCATCGATGGTAATTGTAGTAAATACATACCATGATGCTTTTGAAGTCTTAAGGTTTACAGCTTTGTTTATCAGAAACAAGAAAGTCGCTAAGTGCATGCTAGAAATCATATCAGCAATGGTTTTAGTCCTCATTCAAATACACGCTATTTTATAAGAACAACCCTTATAAGAAACATCAGGCTGAGATTTGCCCAAAAAATAAGAACAACTAAAGAAACAAGGCAGGCTGAAATTTAACAAAAATCAGGAAATAAAATGCCAGCAAATATTCAGCGATTGTTTTATTTTTCAATATTTGCTGGCATTTTATTTCCTGATTTTTGTTAAATTTCAGCCTGCCTTGTTTCTTTAGTTGTTCTTATTTTTTGGGCAAATCTCAGCCTGATGTTTCTTATAAGGGTTGTTCTTATAAAATAGCGTGTATTTGAATGAGGAAAAACAGAAATCGATAAGCAAAATAGCATTAATTACTCTAGCAAACAAATTTTATGTCCGGACACTACTATGCACAGAAAATTCCATTAAAAGAATAAGAAACACATTAGGCTGGATTTGGGCGAAAAAAATGGAAACGCCATGCTGAAGCTTGAGCTAAGTGTTGTTTCAAAAAAGTATGTACCTGCTCGTGTCCAGCCATGTTGAGTTATGTTGAGTGGTGATAAAAGTTGTTTAGCGAAGTTTGAAAGACCTGAAAAATGAGCAGTGGCTCGACACTACATTCTGCTGTTGTTCAGCGTTTGTTGAGAGCATTTTAACACTCCATGCCACAATGTTAATTCCGTGCAAGGGCACTCGAGTTGTTTTCGGAGGCTAATTCGTGAAGATGGTATTGTGTTGTATTGGTTAGCCAGGTCGTTCAAATGTTGATTACAATTTTGAGAGCGTTTTATCACCTCCAACTGAACATCACAAAACAGCGCTCTGCAAATGTTGAGCTATATCTAGTCAAATGTTGAGAGCATTTAAACGTGCTCGTTTCTAAATTTTGAGTAATTAGTGTTAAGCCTAAAGCAAGTCTAAAAAGCAAGAAAATCCCACCCCGGAATACGATCCACGGATCTGTTTGGATTTTGTTCTTCGCAAGAAGCTAAAAGCAACATTATTTATATTCTGCAGTTTAAAATCAGTCAAACACCATCGTTGAAAACATTTTATAGATTTTAACTGATATGTTCAAGTTTCAATGGCTTTGGAAAATGTCATTTTCGACTAGCCACATGTTTCAACTGTTTGAAAAAAGAAAATATTTGAGAAAGTTAATGTTTGAGAAAGGACATGTTGGAGGAAAGAAAATGAGGTTTAGGCAATCTGAACGATTACAGCACATTTGTCATTGGCAAACAGAAGCTATGTAGCTCAAAGCTATTCATTATCATCGGATTAATACTTAATGAGAAAAGTAGCAGATGAAAGTACTTTATTACGTTGCTGCATATGTTGCTGGTATGACCAAGAATCGATGCTGCAAGACAGAAATGTGGTCCTACTTCATCAGTGTTCTTTGTCTTCAAGGCTACACCACTTTTGTCGAAAGCAAATTCGAAATCGACTTCTCTACAACAGGCAGCTTTTTTCAGCAAATAAAAGTCAATGGCGAAAGCGACCCAAAAAACGAGGAAACAATTATCAAGCAAGAATTTTTTTCTTGCGATCGAGAAGCAAGTTGTCATCATGTTTTGAAAAGCTCGACAAAAGAGAAATATCATCTGAGTAAGGAAGATTTTGTCTCGAAGAAAAATGACAGCTTTACCTCTGTTTTAAAGAGGTTCAAGCCACCTGCAGGTGGGTTCAGTAGTTTTTTCATTAACTTTGTTGGATCGAAGCAAATTATGTTTAAATATAAATCTTCTAGTAATTGCTACTATGAATCGTCAGTAAAGAATAAACCGTTGTAGAACAACCGTTAGTATTAAAATATGATTTTCCCTAAGGGTCAAGTGCACCATGGCAGTCTTTCTCAGTAAGCTTATGACAGCCTAAGCCGTGAGCAGTAATGGAAATATGGAAATACAACGCTTGTTCTGATTAGACTGTGAAATATTTCAGTTGAAGACTTAAATTTCCTAAAATTACATCAGCAACATTATTTTAGTGACATCTTTGCAAATAATTGGGGCCAGTTGCCCCTTCTTCCTAGATCAATAACAATACCCTCTGCTTTCAAATATACACCAAATAAGACAGATCATAGATTTCAAAATTCCCCCGAACTGTTGTTGGATGCGAGCAAAATCATAAGAACCTTATGCATATGGCAAGTATTACTTTCCAATTAATGCTGCTGATGATTACGAAGATGATTTTTGACGGTTCTTATAGAAAATGCGTTTATGCTGCTAGTGTTGCAAATTGTTCAGGTTGCAATGTACCAGTTCATGCGAATACTATTTCATTCCATAGATTGCAAGGATATCTTCGACAGAAGTCTTCAAAGAAGAAGTGGAATCTATTACATCACAAAGCCAAACAAGAAGATCTTAAAGGTTTACTGCGATATGGAAACAGACGGTGGAGGCTGGACTGTCATACAGCGGCGTGTTGATGCCACAACCGAATTCAACCGTCTTTGGTTTGACTACCAGCATGGTTTTGGAGACCTTGAGAAGAATATGTGGATTGGGTTAGAGAATATGCACTCCCTTGCAAAACCGAATGCCAGCACAACCATTCGTATAGAGATGAAACATTATGGCAAGGGAGACAAACTACTGCTTGCAAAATATGACAGCTTTGAAATAGAAAACGAAACAGATGGGTATCGTATACGCGTGTTGGGGTACTCAGGAACTGCTGGCGATGCCTTTAACTACCCTCATGGTTACAAGAATGACTTAATGAAATTCACAACAACAGATCGTGACAATGACAACTCTATCAACAACTGTGCGCTTTATCACAATGGGGGCTGGTGGCATAATAGATGCTTTAATTGCAATCTCAATGGGCGGTTCCCTAGTATACCAAACGCAAACGCAGATTATATGTCCTGGAGGAGCGTTACTGGAAGTTTTGGCAATATCTACTTCTCTGAAATGAAGATCAGACGTAACTGAACCACGAAAGAGAACAGAATGCCTTAATGTCGATTTTCATAAAAGGGAATTTCAGAATTGTCAAAACTCGAACTTGGTTTTTGCTCAACAGCGGGCGATATTCCCCTGAAAATGTATCAGCTTTTAAATAAGTAAGAATACACTGAGAAAACTTTTCAGGCTCAATACGAATATTTCTTAAGAATATCGAGGGTGGACAAAATTTATCATATTTTATTTAACAAAAAAGTGTACTTTTGGGGTCTGGTCGATTTGCTGAGCTCTGCTATTTAAAAATATTGAGCTGGTGTAAGCTGCATGAAATTGTTGCAAATCCAGACAAGTTTCTTTGAGCCCAAAGAATATCGCAAGTTAGCATTGTTTTCACTGTCGCATCATCACCATCGTTTATATTTAACGATATGCACTTTATATTTTATTGATAAACTACAAGCATTGTAAATTGGATAGACTTGGCCTAGCTCTTTTTCTGGCCAACTTTTAAAAGATTGTAGTCTTACGTTTCCTCATTATCATTATTAGTATTATAAACTTTGAGTATTTGCCGTTCCTGTGTGTTTGACGGCATATATATATATATGAATTTAGAATTTTCGAAATTGGACCATAGAATCTGACAAACTACCATGATAAATAACTTATATTACAAGAGCATAGTGGTCAAATTTTTGCTTGGCTTTGGAATCAATAGATTTTAGAATCAAGATCAAATTACATAATCTATTCTGTAGTGGTTGTGTGGCTATATTTCAATTACTTTTTGGCAGATTCGATTGTTTTTTGCATGAAAGATTCTTTCTTTTCTTTATGATTATTTAGAGGAAAATTAAAAAAAAGTTCTAAAAATATATTTTCATCACCTTATCAACTTACCATTCTTTTCTGACCAAGAACAGCTCGATTAACTCATCCAACCGATATCATGTGATCGCAAAATGTCTTTCTTGATGCCGAACGGGCTAAGTGTGTTATAGCTTGAATATTTAAAAAAGTTTGGGGTCAAGCCTTGGGTTGTTTACAGAACCGGACAATAATTTATCGTTTCAAACTAAACAGTGTCACTGCGGATGAAGGGTTGTCGCTTGCCCCACTACTTGGTACGTTAAGTGTGGCTCTTAAGTCCTTCTTCGTTTTGTACGTCGAAGGACACGTCCCCATTGTGGCATAGAAGTGTAATCGCACGTGATATTAGATAATAATATGTAACTCACTCACAAAGACCTTTGCTTTCGCCTCTCCACTAACCCTTCCACCGATCGATAGTCCAAAAAGACCTCGTCACATTGGTCCAATTCGGCCCAATTTGCACCAGGTAATTAGGCTATAGTAACCAGATAATATTAATTTTGTTTTTTTGCACTTGCAGTTGAAATTTGTTATAAAGAAATGTCGTGGTTAGCCAAAAATGTTAATTTTACTATTTGCACGTACATTTTACAACTCAATAAACCTGTGTGATGTTGAAGTTCTGTGCTACTTGTTGCACACTATTGCTGTTGAAAGTATAAACATCATCCAAGCATTAAGAAGATAGTAAAAAGACAAAACATGTCTCTCTATCCAACTTCCAAACAGTCACCTTGAAAACATTGCTGTTGAAAGTATAAACATCATCCAAGCATTAAGAAGATAGTAAAAAGACAAAACATGTCTCTCTATTCAACTTCCAAACAGTCACCTTGAAAACATTGCTGTTGAAAGTATAAACATCATCCAAGCATTAAGAAGATAGTAAAAAGACAAAACATGGCTCTCTATCCAACTTCCAAACAGTCACCTTGAAAACATTGCTGTTGAAAGTATTAACATCATCCAAGCATTAAGAAGATAGTAAAAAGACAAAACATGTCTCTCTAATCAACTTCCAAACAGTCACCTTGAAAACAGTTACAAATGAGTTATCAAATCTCAATCCAAACTCAAAAGTATTCCTGCAAGGATTTTGATACACATATTTGACATATTAGTTATAGTTGCATTATTGTGAACGAAAATATTCAATAATATTTTCCAGAAGATCTGAAACTAAGAGACAAAACATCGCTATTTAACAAAAAAGAAGAAGCTACCAGAGAGCAGAACTATTGAGCTGTCACAGCTTTGTCCAATTCATCAAAATGTCTTTGACGATTTCTATACGCCCAGATTGTCGAACCTGCGGGTACCTTTTTAGTTGCCTACTCGTGCGGTTTTCGGCATGCGAACGTGTTATAGATATTTACTTGAAAATACTTGAGATAAAAAGGAGTGGCTGGTGCTTTATTAATCGATCTCTCAAAAGCGTTTAATTGCATAAACCACAAACTTTTACTGTGAACTGCTTATGGTCAGAGGTCCTTGAAGGGTCGGAGTTAGACCCCGTTTACACTAGCACTGTGGAACCGTGACGATTTTGCTCTGCTATCCGGAACAGTTTTGACCCTGCTTTGAAAGCGAACGAATTTTGTACCGTCACGGTTCCTTTTTTGAACGGGACAGTGTAAACTCCTATCCGAGACGATTTTGTCACGGATTCACAAAGAGGTCTTTTGCAGAGGCGGATCCAGAGTGAGTTCTTTGGTGCCCAGAACTCAGTCAGTTTTCCAACATACAGCTAAAAATAGTGTTGCCTGGAACAAGTAATCTTTAAATTAAAAATTGAAACCTCAAAATTCTAAGTTTTATCACAGTCTCTTCAAAATCTTAAAATTGCCAGTTTCTTCTCTGTCGTGATTTGGAAACGATTTTCCAGACGCTGTGGAGGACAGCAGCAGTCTAGAACTCGGAAATAAACGTTTTGTGCCTCGGAAGCAAAGGGTATTGAGAAAGGGAGGGGGTTGAAAAGCTACTGACCCTTAATTTGGATGTTCCATGAAAGAAATCTCGACACGAAATTGAATAAAGTTCTACCTTACTGACGTTAGATTATGCAGTATCCGGTCACCATTGCAGTCTACAGTACTTGCTGATAAAGATACAAATTGCCAAATATAACCTGAGGCCCAGTTTCAAGTGTGAGATTTTTCAAAGAAGAGGTGTACAATATAACTTGCACAACAGAATACCCTTGGCGTTCCTTATGCGTGGACAACTTCTGATGGTTTAGTAATTGTGAAGTGCTTGGGTCGTGGCAGACATTACCACACAATATTATAGAATCCCAATCATTGCAAGCTTTTAAAATAGAATCAGAAACCCACAAACTTGAATGTGACTGAGATTGCGAGTGGCATATCACTCCAAAAAATTTCGCATGCCTTCGGCAAAAATCCTTTTGTTTTCAAGAAATTTCCCCAAAAATCCTTAAAAATCCTATTTTTTTTAAAAAAAACCCGTATGCTGTTTTGAAAGAATGATGCACCCCCCACCCCCCACCCCCCCCTCGGTAGATTGTGTAAAACATTTGATTAATGATATCGTGAATATAATATTATAGCCTTGAATGTAATGACTTGTATGACACTCTGCTTTGAGTATCAGGAACGCAAGTGGCATTCTTTACTCATTCTCTCTAGTGATGCTATAAAAATCCATTATGTTCAAGTTCTTATCTTTTACCCCATTTAAGGGTGCTGCGCCCTTATAGGGAGTATTCAAGTTTTAGAATGAGAGGCTGAATAAATTTGTGACGAGAGAGAAAATTGACTCTTTTTATCATACATGAAAATTCTAAAAAAGCGGGAAAATGATAAAATTCAGTGAATATTCTCCGAGATTCTCAGACAGAAATACTAAGTGAAATTGTATTAACTTACAAATGCTTTAGTGATAATTATCTTCTTTGCATTTCAATATACTTGCTTGGTACAAACTCAAAATATCACCAAATACATGAAAATTTAGACATCAATGATGTGAAGCGTATGGCAGCTGGGGAATTTGTGACGCATATGTCGAAGATCAAACTACGTCATGTTTAATTGAGATCAGTCACGAATACGCGGTGAATACCCCAGCCGGTACTTCCACAAATCAAAATGCTCCTTTCAAAAATAATTTTCCCTGTTAATCTGCTAAAACAATTGCCAAGAGAAATATTGAGAAATATGCAGCGTCTAAGGTTCGCCAACAGCAAACAAAATCAACAACAATGCCTGCCAAAAGTCTTGGAACACTGACATCAATTTCCAAGGTCAAAACCAATCATCCCCCTCTCCCCCACGGAACAATGTTGGTTTACTATCAAACGGATTAGGATTTTAGGAAGCACTTTCTTTTGCGCTTCTTTTATGATATTTCTCTAAATCATCAACATTGTTTGAGGGGGAAGGGGGCGGAAGTAGCAAATTTTTTTCATGAAAGGAATGAAAGATATGACTATGAATGCAGCGTAAATTGGTGGGTGTTCCAAGTACTTTTGGCAGGCATTGAAGGACATCCGCGAAAGTTTGCATTTTTCGTAGTTCATTTCAGTTCAGACCTTTGTGATCAATAAGAATACATGGAGCCTTGTAACAGCAAGTGAAGACGGTCGCAAATTACGGTTTTGGGTTGAATTGAAGGAGGCTTGTGTTGGTCACGTTCATAAAGAATTTTTCGAAATTCGAAATATAAAAGGAATACAGTATGCTTGTGTCCAACTTTTGTGGTCAACAAAGACAAAATGGAGTAGAGAAGTTTCAGAATAATAGGCCCGTCTCATAAAACCTTTTAATGTAGAACTTTTAATCATCAATAAGACAATAAAATGGACGACTTGAATCGTATGTGATTTCTTCGTGTTTCGTTTCCTCTTTGGATTTGAGTTAAAGGAAATTTCATTAGAAATGTAGACGCAACTGGTCTTAAACGATCAAAGGGTCAAGCGTTTTTTCCACATTATTCCAGCACACGAACACCTCTTTTACTTTTTCAACTACTCATATGGGCCTCCATATGGCCCCATCGTTGGTTAAGATCCTTACAGGGTTTCTTTTCTGTTTTCTAGGCTCTATTTACAATCAGGTGAAGAAGACAATGCATTTAGACTGTATTCGATCGTGCTTGACGATACGGATCAATCAGCCGTAGGTTTATCTTGGAAATCTGGTTTATTTCATGGCTTACGTCTGCATCTACAGCTCCCAGTTTACATTACTGATGCTTAAGGCCTTAATCTATTTGACTAGACAAAAGATAAAAACAACAAACTGGACATCCAGATCCAGAAAAACCTCTGATAGGAATGCAACATTTGTTGAGCAAGATCATGAAAAACGATCATTATGTAATCTTGATGCCTTTTTGGCATATTTTTCTTGACAGGGTAACAATCTAATGTTCAGTTATTGCACATACACAAATATTTAAAACTGCACAAAATTTAGTGACGTTTACGATTTACAGCCCACGTACCCGTTGAAGAGCATTAACTTCCAATTTTTGTTTATCAGGTAAACATACCACAGTTTAGATTGAGCTTAGGTTCACTTCAATGGACAAGATCTAGGAAGGTATAGCTTAAAAGGCTCAAAATGTCTGTGAAAAGGGGAAACCTTTTGTACTCCAGTTAAAGAGGCCTAGCATATATTGGGCTCTTGGTTGCCAATGGTCATCACCACTGACCAACGCTTGCAGCATCTTTTACATTGTACAGGAACCAACAGAACAACACCACTTTTTATACTTAAAATTGAAATAATTTCTTTATTGTTTGTTCTTCCATATAAAAACCGATACAACGTCGATTTCAAAATTGCTAAAAGGCACTTTTAATGGCTCTCTCTTTATCGTGGGTCTTGCTAAACGTATGTGAAATTGCATTTATCATTTTCTTGCTTTTTTCTTGTTTGCGTCTATCAAATGACCTTCTCCCAACGTTCGTCTCTTTCTAGTTTCATACCAGTGAAGACGTTGCTAAGGGACTTGTGTTTGCTGCCAGGTATTGCTTGAAAACGGGAAAATATAGCGAGGCCGAGGCTTATGGACGAAGGGCGACTGAGCATATTGAGGTAAAATTTCATGCAAATGTTGATTTATTACCTATACACAGCTGAGAGGTGATTTAGAAAGTGATGGCAGAACCAGGGCCGCCGCTAGGCGGGACGGGCGGCGGGGCAGAAGCTTTGACGGGTCCCCAATTTGCGCCGAAGACGCAAAAAAATTTGGAAATGCCCTGTTTTCGTTCCTGGAAACGCCCTTGTTCTGAAGTTGAAGGCTGCAATGGGCTTCATACCTTGCATTGTAGCGTGGTTAAAATGTTCATCTTTTACATCTTTTCGAAATCTTTCTCATGAACCTTTGGACTGGGGCTCTATTTATACAAAAAAGGTATGAGTGCGGTGTTTCAAATTAACTCAGATCAATTAGCTACTTGGCAATGGCCCCGGCTAAACCCCCCTTTCGGCGCTTCTGGGCAGAACTGCATTAAAAAGAATGCGCTTTTGAAGTCAAAAATGATAACGTGAAAATGGGAAGCCGTAATGTTGTTTGGTAATTTGCCTTTCTGCTTAAGAATCAAACATATATCAATTATTTGGTGTGTGCCAGTCTTGTAGCAAGGCCACTTAAAATGTCACTAGGATGAATGCAGAGGCTCCGACACAAGTTGGAAAGTGGAAGCCAAGGACAAATTAAGGACCCATAACAAAAGATTTTGCAAAAAGTTCTTCTTTTACAAAAAATGGCTGGCCATGGCAGAAAACTACTCGTTTTTTCAAGGGATTTTTTTCAAAGGGGGTGTCACAACCCTTACACTCCCCACAGCGATAACCCTGGTATAAATATGGGTTAGAGCATCTGCAGAAACCACAAATTGCTGAACTTGTTACAATGGTTGGGGTATAGGCCATACACCAATTGGACTTACGGTCCCATTTTGAAAATTCTTCAAATTCTTTTGTACAAAATTTTTGATCTCAGATTCGGATTAAGAGCAATGATTTTAGCCTACTTGGAAGTTTTGGTGATGGTATTGCTCCTGATATTGATTTTATGACGACATAAAGATAAACATTTTATAAGGGATTTGACCGTGGTTGGCGACTAGGGGGGTAAAGTTTCACCCAGAATGATTTTGGCGGTCAAATCCCTCACAAGTTTTCTAACTTAATTTCTCTGTAAAATCTAAAATAAAATCATTATCTGGCCTTAATTTATGGCGATAAAACCAAGATGAGCTTAAAAAAGTCGTACAATTAAGTTTGGAGGAAATTTCCAAAACGAGGCCGTAAGTTGAATTTATGTATTGACATGTAAGTAAACTTTTAAAGCCGGAACTTCTGAAACCTCTGGAACTGTTTGCAAGCAAGCTAACCGCAAATTGTTTACGGTTAAAGTTGTCTTGCTATCATTTTCCTATTTCTGGAACAACATAATGCAGTGCAAAAACCACAAACAAGGCTATTCTTCCTTAGATTTATGATTCTACTTCCGGGTCTCAATAGGTTCTTTGTTTAAATTGATTCTTTTCCTAGTTTTACTTTGTAGGTTTTCTTCTGTTTTTCCTTTTCCTTGGATTCATTTCTCAAAGGATCATGAAACAGAACCTCGATTCATAGTGCTATACTAATGGTTTTTCAATGTATATCATATATAAAAGATCCAATCAAAGTTTTACAGCTACTTATTTCCAGTATGCAAACCTAATAAAATAGACACAGGGCTAAGAAAGCAGTACTGATATTAAGATAAAACGTGCAAAAGGAAAATACAGGGTTGTCGGTGATATTGCCGTATATTTATCGTGAAAGGCCATAACACTGGGTTTTTCCAGCCTCGATATCGTGAAATTTTCCAGCCTCGATATTCATAAGAAATTTTCGTTTTCACCTTGATTTTATTGTTATGAAAGTATTCTAATTTTCTTCAAATCTAGTATGATTTTAAGGGAAGGTCGCCCACTCTTTTGAAGCACTAATATGCGAGCTGGGGCTGCTGAACAATATTCAATATGATGTTCTTAACAATTGGATGATTCTGAGTCTGATTATTCTTATAAACAATATTCTTATAAAAGAAAAAGAGTCTATATAAACATAGCCCGATTCACACTTTCATCAGCACATACGATCTTATTCCCTATAGAATGTGACTCTATATAAAACTTTGGTTAGAGGACTTCAAGGGCTCACCCCGGGGTATTCCCTTACCTCTTATCTGATATCTTCTTTAAAGAAATTGGTTTTTAAGGCTTTTGCGTATAAATAAACAGTGTACAAAATGTAGCTTTAGAATTCTGATGTTTCTTTTGTCGATTTGTGTTGTAGACTAGAGAAGAGGCAAGAAGTCTTCTTTACGAGATCAGACAAGCTCGGCTTGGCAACGAGGCCTCAGACGTTGCAGCATATCCTTTCACTACGCCTTCTTAGCCACAATGGACTTGATGTTGATCTTCCGAGGAAACCAATCAAAAGGAAACGATTCCAAGAATTCAGAAAGTTGACGAATCCTCGAGAAAGCAGGATAGCAAATTCGTAATAGGACGTCTACCTTTGAAGTCATATTTTATCATCAAGACACTTCTTAGGTGTTCTGCAGATCTACTAAAATTCTCCTATGTACAAAACGTGAGCTTTATTGCAGAGGTATAATAAGAAAGGGGAGCTTATAACTTGATATTTCAGATTATTCAAACAGGAAAAATCGTTATTATAAAGGTGTATTATCAATAAGAGGGCATCTAGACCTATTTTGATTGATATTCGCATCATGGCCCCTTTGAAAAACATTACTTTTTGGTTGCCAGTGCCATACGAATTATCAATTTTCTCAAGAAAGATCTGCAGTATTGTAAATTAGAAGTATCTTACTCAGCAATGACTCTATGTTGAAAATTTGCTGCTAGAACTCTACTGTAATATGGATTCTATTATTTTGTAGATCCCAAACAGCATTGCCATGCAAATAGCGATTATTCTTCGTGTAGCCTCGTTTTAATCTAGCGCATATATGACGTAAATTCTTTTAATGTCTCGCAAAGCAGCCCAATGTAGTCAATGCAATTCATGCCTCTGCTCTAATAAAGGCGACGCTCTTTTATTGATAAATTTGTTTGCAATTATTTCATACATGTGCCTTCTATACATTTTATTTGTCGAGGAAACATATTGGGATGTAGCTGCATACGGGCCCTTCTAAAAGTAACTCTGCAGGCTCCTTCGGCGCAATGTTTTCTCTATCCTTCTGTTTGTGATTTAAAGCTGTGCTCCTTTCCTATGTTGTTGATTCATGAAAAAGGAGGAATCGTGAACCAAATCGACACCATCGTAACGCTTTTATAGGGCGAATGCATGATTTGAGGTTTCCTCTCAATATTTTTTGGGCCTGTAACTATTTAGGCACCAGGAATTAAAATGAAATAAACATTTTACTGTAGTCAAAATAACTCTACCCCTTTTGGATATAAGTACGCATGGGAAATTAAGCAGAAGATCTTTTATCCTGACCTTTGTGAACAATGGATGGCTTGCTCTTAGCCAATCCCCTCTTATTTCCAGCTATGTAACTACTACACTCTTTTTTATAAGAACCAGTAAATTTAAGTTTAGGCTGACTGTTCTTAATTTTTTCGAAAATCTGAGACTGGATTGTTCTTAATTTGTTCTTAATCTAATAGGGTGTAAGCAGTGCGAGTGCTAGCTTTTTCGCTCTAGGGAGGTGTTCAGGCCTCATTTGCCAACAAAGTGAGTGAGACAACCTTCATTTGCCGAAAAGTTTGAATATTCGATGAAAAAGCACCCACACATCGCTAAAAATCCTCGATTTTGAGAAAAAACGTTGTTCAAAATTGCATTTTGCTGAGCTCAGCCTCAGCTTGTTCTTAATTTGTTCTTAACTTTTGACCAATTTTGAGGCTCGTGTTCTTATAAAATCGTTCTTAAAATTGACGTCGACAGATGATTATTTATAGTTCAAGGCCCTTTATGTAGTGAAGATGTTGCAACAGAGTCTTGCATAATAGTTTAAGCATGCAAGGACGCATCCCCAATTAACTAGTTATGTCTAATGCTTATGTCCAATGCTGTCCTCGTATGATTGTAACAATCAGGGAAGCCGAGACAGCGGAGCCAGCAGGATGCTGCCCTGTTTCCTTCCAAGCGCTAGTGTGGTAACTATTCAATTTAATATTCTTCAACCCAAAGTTGCGCATACCATATCACGCTATTCAATGAGGAACAGTCTAAAAACAGTCAATAAGAATTTCTCCAGCTTTTGAGACAAAACACTGGCATATTTATTACAAAGAAAGAACCTCCTATTTTCCAAATTGCAACAAAGACATAAGGCGTGATTTCCCGTATTTTTATAATTTTTTACCTTTCAGAATTCAAGAAGCTTATAAAGAAATTTGAGTATACAATTCTCATGAAAATTATGACAATGTCAATACTGAAAATCTTGCACTTTGTTGACCATTATGCACTCTTTTTCAATATTATAAGTTTAATAAAGAAGTGCTATAAATACAGCAGGGGTAAAGAGCTATGAATAAACAAGGAACCCCTTGCAAAAAAGTTTTCAAAAAACAATAGCAACATGTAGTGAAGTGGCAGCAACAAGGAGGCTCAAACTCCTGAACCCCTTCCCCAGCTCTAAATCAATTTTCGTACAGCTCAGTAGCAATGTAAACCACGAATTCGCCCAGGGCAATACGATGCTTAAAATTCTTTGCTGTCAGCAATGTTTATGCCGTGTTTCAGCTCAGCCTACACAAGTCGCACCGTTCCTTCACAATCATTGCAACACTCTATGCGTCAATATACGCTACTGACCAGGGGGCAGCTTGTTGTAAATACCACTGAACAAATACTTTTGCCAATGCGGTGTTTTTATTATGGTAAATATGACCTCAATGGGCGATGCATTGCATAATGATGCTTGCAGACAACAGCAATTCATAATTACAATGCTAAATTGCAATATTGTAATGTCATTTGCTAGGGTTAAATAAGAGTTAGTGGATAAAATGGAATTTTTAATGATTTTTGCAGCTCAAATTTTTTAAAATAAAAACATTTTCTCAATCATGATGGTATTTGTAAAGAAAAAAGACTGAAAACCACCTATCGTTAGGTGCCTTGGTAGGAATCCTCTTGGCAATAGAAAAATCAAATTATCGTAACATGATCAGGCTGTTTTTAGGAATTCAAATTACCGTATACCGTAAATCCTCGAACTAGCCCCCTGGGGGCTTATTTATTTTTGATATTTTGGACAGGGGCTTATTCGAGAGGGGGGCTTATACGAGAGAGGGGGCTTATAAAATTATTGTAGACAATAAGAAGAAATTATTAAAAGATCTTGTTTATTTTAGTAGAAATTTCTTTATGAGCATTTAATTAATTACTACCAAAAGTACGAATTTGTCGTGGTAATTCAATAAAACGCTATAGGCAGATGGCAAAAACCATCAAATTGAGGGGTCCAATTCAAGAATTTACGGTAGCAGTAGGGGCTTATTCGAGGAGGGGGCTTATTGACAGTTTGTAGTTTTAGAGTGGGGGCTTATTCGAGGGGAGGACTTTTTCGAGGGGGGGGGGCAATTCGAGGATTTACGGTAGTGAGTCAATTTAAAATAAGCGATGAATTGAACATGCATGATCACACGATGTCACCTGCAGATTCCTAGTTGTGAAATACTATGAAAGGTATGTTTGTACTCCTTTATGTTGATCCCTTATCCCGTTGAATCCTTTGTTTTTCAACCTTTATTGGTTCAATTGTCCGGAAAGGAGTTCCTTCCTCATTCATACGTCATTGCAAGAACAAAGCTTTAATCTTATTACGTCATGCATGCAGCTGGCCTTACCCCCGTCATGCTTTCCGGCCTGATAAAACAGGAACATCGTGATTAACTACCATTCGCGTGGACATCAAGTTGACGACAAGAGGAAGGAGTAATCGATAAGAAGCTCTTGGCAGAGCACGGTCGACAGATCACAACCGAAGAAGCTTCATTTGCATTTCCAAAATGGTAAGGTTCTGAGTTAATTCTTTGATTTATAACTGTTTTATTTTTACAACTGAAGGAAAGACGTAGAATTCGTGGTTGACAGACAGGCTTCCAAGTGCCAATGTGTTTCACTCCTGCGTTTCAAATAAACGAAATGGCAAGCTTTGACAAACGCTAATGAACTTGGGCGAACATATTATCAAGCTTCAGTGCTGCATTTAGAATTCTCTTATTACCCTGATTTTAAATTTGGCGTAAAAGTAGCGATAGGGGAACGCACTCTTTAAACTTTTTAAAGTGTCAATCAGACAATCAGAAAAATTCAAGAAATTACTTGAGCAAAGAAAATTGAGAAACAATTTAATTTTGAAATAACAAAGAACTTCGAGATTTCGTTAAAATCCAATTTAAACATAGAGAATGAAAATATCTTCCCTTCATCTGAGAACACGCCAATATCTAGAAAGCAATATCACGAGCATTTGAAAATAATAAAAAAATTCAAGAGTTTCGCTGTTTGCAGCTGCTAAAACCCTCCTCAAAAAGTTATAATTGGAAAATTTCTTAGTATGGACAATTTGATTTTGGGACCCGGAAGTTAAATTACTGACATCATAATTAAAAAAATCTTAGGAAAGAACGAGTTTTAAATTTCCATAAGCCACAAGAATCCCGAGTACTCAACAACGACATTTGTTCTTATTTCAATGTCGTGAAAATTGCTGCAGAATGCTTAGTCTATTCATCATGAGCGGAAGCCCCATATATTCTAGTCTGGGCTGGGGGCAGATCCAAGACACGAAATTAGGATAACCTTCTTTAGGTAGCGTTTCTTCGCATTTCTTTAAGAGTTTAAACTTTCGGACATTGTCAAAGTTCGGACAGTTCAAGATTCGGGAAAAGTATCTTCCGGAAGATTTTCAGCGGGAACTTCTGAATTTGGATGCATAATACGTCATGACAGCGCTGCACTTTTGCGGTTCTTTAACTGCCTTCTCTAGACCGCGTTTCAGCCGCTTCTATATTATTGGTTTCAGCACACTGGTTCCGTTTCAGACACCATTCAGACATCGTCATGCAGCGCAGGGCCTGCGACACGAATTTTAAAGTGGGGGGGGGGGGCCAAGGCTTGAAATGTAGGGGCCCAAGACTTCTTACCCCTTTTATTGCAGTTCTAAAACTACTTGCTTCGGAAGAAAGTGGGGGGCCATGGCCACCCCGCCCCCTCCCTCCCCGCCAGTGGCGCGGGCCCTGCAGCGTCACGATAAGACGCTCGAAACACAACCATTTTAAAACCGCTGGTATACGGACATTAAAGAATGTACCCATTCTTCGTACATAAAAACGTAGATTTATCACCCATTACCAAACCTGAAAATCATTTTTTAAATTTGTTTAGACTCTGTAGGAGATGGCTTTGTTAGTAAAATGAACATATCTTCACTCTATTTCCTTTTAATTATTTAAACCACTTGCGACCGCTTGTTTGTTTGCAAAGCTGCATGCTTTGATGGGGATGGGGTGGCTTTGTTTGTCTAAATAAGTCAACGGAGAAGTAGCTTGGTAATCAATCAAATGCAATGAAAAGCACATCTGGTTTAAACTTCAATTTAAGTAAGTAATTTCTTAATCAATGTCTAATCATTTCAGGTGGACGCAATCATTTGCATTGGATATTCAGCGTGCCTGTTGGCATTACAATCTGCATCATTGGTTTGATTGGCAATGCTATTTCGGTATGTGCTTGGTACAGGATAATGAAATCAAAAAGGACGGGTGGACTAGCAACAAGCATATATCTTATTGCCCTTGGTATTGTCGACAGTGGTCTCCTGTTCTTCTTCCTACTAGTCGACACAATTCCTGGAAATAACCCGTCTGTCAAAAATACATATTCTTATGCTGCCTTCTTCTCTTATTTCGGATTCCCTTTATTTTTCTTCTTCATCGTTGCCAGCATTTGGGTGATGGTTGGAGTCACCATAACTCGATTTATCATGGTGAAATTCCCAATCAAAGCAAAGGACTGGTGTTCTGCTAAGCGGGCCTACATTGGCATTGGTGCCACAATGGTTGCAACGTTTATCATCAACTTCCCTCACTTCTTTAATTATCGGCCCGTGAAAGTTGCCGGTGGCTATCAACTGCAAATGACAGAGTATGGAAAGAGCGAATCCGCCCAGATGTATGAATTTTGGATCCACTGCATGATTCTTGTGTTAGTCCCATGGGCAACAATCGCATTCCTCAATGCAAGCATCATATACGCTTTGGTGAAGCGCACAAAGTACATGCAGGGTCTCGACAAAACTGCATCAAGCAAACCAGAGCGCAACAAGCAAGACCAGCAAATGACGACAATCCTCTTGACTGTCACCTTCACGTTTCTCATCCTCCTGGCCTTGCAGTGTATAACACAGTGTTTCTTTATGCTCGGCAATGGCAAGAAAAATGTTAGCTGGGATCAGAATTCAGTCAGCACTGCATTTGCCTTTGCCAAAATGGGCGTCGTCATCAATTCTGCAATCAACTGCTTTCTCTATTGTTTCACTGGGTCTGTTTTCAGAAAGGAACTGAAGAAAATGTTCGCTTGCAAGCCATCCCGCCAATATGCCGCGTATTCTAACACATCAAAGGCATCAAGGGGTGATACTAATGAGACCTACACTGAGTCGAAGGCCTAAGCTACAAATAAACTGTCGACCAAGTAAATTGTACGATGACTCAGAGAGATATCCAGGAATGACACAAAAGAGACTTAAACATGATTTTAGATACTCTATTAGCTTTCAAAATCAATACACGTCTACCAAAATATATCCATATCACTCGCAATCATTATGCGATGCGTTTTCAGCCAAATCAGTGATCGTTCACGGTATGCAGTTCAGCAAAAAAAGTCGGAAGCCCAAACATATGCGAAGGCAGGCAACAAACCACCACAAGGGACGGTGGTTCCCTGAATCGTAAGAAGATTTGTTTTTGTATCCAGATGATTTGCCTAAAGAAATATGTTTTTGATGGTGAGCCAATAGGTTTGTTTTTCGCCAAATACCTGGATGGGCTTTGACTCTATCTTTTTAATAAATCGTATACCACCGTCAACCGTGATGCTCCCAGCCACCCTGATGCCCCCAGCAACCAGGATGCCCCCAGCCACCCTGATGCCCCCAGCCACCCTGATGCCCCCAGCCACCCTGATGCCCCCAGCCACCCTGATTCCCCCTGCCACCCTGATGCCCCCAGCCATCATGATGCATTGGCTTTTATTTCATATGTGACATTTTAAAAAGACAATATTTTTCAGGAATATGCATCTTATGAGAAGAAATTTAACATTAAACGACTTTATTTGTAAGTTCACACGTTCGTAAAATACTTCATTAATCGGTTTTGCTCCTATTCTGTATTTAATCATTTAGCCATTCGCTAAGTAATCTTTTGTTATTTACTAATGCATCTATTTGTTAAAATGTAATTGTTGCATCTGCTAGTTAGACACCGTGCAGTGTAATTTGTTTATTCGTATTGGATTCAATTCTTAAAAATATAGTTATATTTGTGTACAAATACGAGTTATGTTTCTTTCTCGTGGTCCTTTATGCCTTAAAAAAGATCTCAAGAATTGTTCTTGCTCCTTGCATAAGGTATCTTAGGGTTGGAGTTAGAAGGAAATATTCTGATAAGAATCATATCAATCCCAATGTGATGAACTCGTTGGTTGTGAGAACAAGAGACACAAAGAGATGGCCTAGTTTCCTCGTTGAATTATGATCACTTCAAAGCTCTGAGGCTCAGTTCTGCAACAAAATAGAGATGTTCGTTCTACAGGGGCTAGTATGTTCTTTTGGAAGAAAATTAAAGTAATAAATACTCAAATAATTTTAAAGATCCTAAATTATTGTAGAAGCCGTTCAGAGTTTCCTCAGATCCTACTGTTCATTTAGTGACAGCTGAATACCAAACAAATTCCCCAATTTCCTTTTGTAGCTACAGAGCTAAAAAAACTTTAAAAATTGAATCAGATGGTCAACCTTATAGCGTAGAATATTCATACATTTTGTACAAACATAAAATAATCAATTTAAAAATAGTAATTTTTTCACAAAAACCATCAGATTAACCAGAACAGACAATCAAGAAAATTCATGAAACAATGATCTTATAATAAACCAATGCATAAATTTCTAAACTATTCAAAACCACAAAGTAATTTGCGCGTAATTTGAAGCCTGTTAGACCTTCGACGGTTGTAGAATTCCCTTTATTGCAGTATATTTTTACTTGAAATGGTTTTACTTATGTTCAGGAAGTTCAATTTCTTATAATGCATCATAAAATCATCTACAATTCCTGCCAAAAGTCTTTTTACACTAACGCCAGTTTTCAAAGGCAAATACGGTTCTTAATCCAGTTGAAAATGACACAAAAAATTGATAAATTTGGTTTACATTGAGTTACTCAATTTCTGTAATTGTTTAAAAAATTCCCCAATCTTTATCAGTCTCCATTTATTGAAATTTAGCATTTCTCAAAGGCCACCTAAACACCAGTTTAACATTGTGAGAGAAAAGAAATTTGCCACAAAAATACCACCAAACATTGTGGGTAAGCCAAATTTTACCGCGTAGATAAATTACCGCGTAGATAAATTACCGCGTAGCCAAATAACTGCGTAGCCAAATTAACGCGTAGCTAAAAGGGTCTAAGGCGAGTGTTCGTGTGACGTAAGCCGAGAGACGGAATCTAGAAATTTGAACAACTAGCAAAGTTGATCATACAGTTAGTTATTTGTGCACAATGGACAGGCCCACCGTGAGAGGGGGCAAAGAGGCAACTGCCCCTGGGCCCGCTTGTATTTAAACCGTCTCTATCTAAAACATGACCCTTATCAATATGGTGATTTCAAGAAAAACAAATCATATCTGTTCTGGGAAAATATTACTATGCTTTGAGAATGTGAATTAAAAGTAAATAAAGAAAACTCTATGCATTTTAAATCCATATTGTACTTTGTACTTATTTTAGGTTTATTGCTTTGGGAAGGAAGGGGTCCAAGCATTGGGTCTGCCCCTGGACCCAGCGTGGATTCCGCCTGCCCTGATAATGGACAAGTTTCGTCGAAAGTTGTTAAATAAGGACAACACCATGATGACATTTGCTGGTTATTATCTTGCAACTGTATAACCAGCCTTCAATTCTAGCAGATGAACTTGGGGCTAAATGATATTCAAATTCCATAGTCCAAACTTCTTAATACGTAGGGACCTTTATTTATACACAGAAACGTTATTATGTGGTTACGACCAGGTAAAGTTAGCCAGCAATACCGTTTCCGAATGCTTTGCCTACTTTCTCCAAGCCCTTACTGTAGTCGCCTGTACAAGCCATTACCATTTAATTAACATCTCATATAAAGCAAGGCATCGTCGTTAATTTTGCAGTGACCGACTTTCTTCGGTGTCATGAGTAGTAAAGTCAACAATGCAGCCGAGAGGTTTAAAAGCCAGGCAGGTATATATGCATTTATTGCTTTTGCTGCAAGGCTACCAAGCTTTATTCTCAAAAACCTGTTAGCTGTGTTCTGCTGTTTCCAAAATTTTGATAACGCATGTCAACAAACTACTAACAGCGTGGACTATCTGCTGCCATTGTGGTAGAGCTAATTGTTAGGGCCCTTGACATTTTTCGTTTGTTTGAAAATATCTGGAGTCACATGAAAACTGCCCAAAAATATGGCTTAGGGTTACTTACTTGTTTCAATTCTGTAATGCTCCTTTCTTCTGAGCCCTACAATGAATACAACATGTATCACATTAAACTGAATTTGCATCCTATTAAATGAATATTTGTAAGTCAACGTTAATTTATCTGCTTCTCCGTTCGACTTTCGTGTTATGCTAAAACAGTAGGTGCACTTGATGAACTTTAATGTCAGGAAATTACTCACGATTCTTTTGTGACTTGATTTTAATTAGGGATGACCAAAACGACACACACCGTACCGAACACAACATAACTCATTTCTAGATGGCATGGAAAACATGGCACGTGGTACACGGAAATAACGGAAACATGACACACGGAAACATGGCTCAGAATGCCATGTTTCCGTTATTTCGGGCCATTTTCAAATTTTGCGGCACCAAGAACATATTTCGTCAGCACTTTCAACACACAGTATTCGTATTGTATTTGTATTTGTTTCTACCTAGTACCCGCAGTTAACTATACGTCATTGCCCTGTGGCAATGGTCCCTCTGGCATCCGCAAAAAAATTTTGTTTTAAGAAAATCGACTTACATTTTTCTTTTTAGAAAAATATATGCTTGACCCTCAAGCTGAATTTCCTGAAAAAGCTGTGCGACCTTGTAACTTACAAAAATCGGGTACAGATTGTAGAATTCAGCAGACGTATGAATTTGCTGGCCATATGTTATCGACTGTTAGAATACGTTCGATGTTGCAGTAACCTGAGGGGGTTTTTTTATACAAAACAACATTCTGTTCCATTGAAAACCATTTATGGTGATGCACGACGGGAACATTGCGAAAGTTTAAAGGTAGGAGCCAACTTAAAATCTCAACAGAGCTTGTATATGATGAAGTTAGCACCTTAGAGTTTTCCCTTTTTGCCAAAAGGGGACTATGTCCAACATATTATCGGAGTTTCTGCATTAAGACAACATAATTGACTAAGAGCATGAATCATATACAACGCTACAGTTGCTTGGTGCATTAAGCGTGAAACTCGGAGTAGCAACTCGGAACCGTCCTATTCTATGCATGCACCAAATAGCGTGTACAGCCCTGCCTAAAAGGTATCGAGCTGTCTATGACAAATCGGTAAACAGTAACTTTCATTAAATCATATTCTAGACTTGATCAGTAGCGAATCTAGCCTTAAGAATCTGGGGGGAGGGGCTAGCCGGGGGCCAACGCTAGCTATTACTTTGCAAACTAGTAGAATGTGAAGCAGTGCCGTGGTGGCTCAAAATTTGCTACACAGCACCAATTTTGGCGCCCCATAGAAAAGTATAGCATTGGTACAACTCTATCAGGGCTGATGAAACTTCAATGTTGAGATCGATCGGGGAGAGCTTTGTAAGGGTCACCGCCATGGCTGGTGGCAAGACAAGGTTTGGAACTATTACATTCTAGGGAAGACATTAAACTGTACCTAAATATCTACAACATTCATAGGTTTAAGTCCATTGAAGAGAAACAATGTTGCTGGGGGGCCTCTAAAGATTGGGGACCTTTTGTTCTCAACTCAAGGCAACTTTGGGCCATTTCTCCGCTGAGTTTTATCTGTTTAACTATGATACTTGAACATCAGAATATTAACAAAAGAACTGTACTCAAAAAAATAAAAGGCTAAAAAGCTTTATAAAGTTGCTTGGTAAAATTTCCCATAATAGTTATGTCTTATATCCAACCTCGATGAGATCAAGCAAATAATTCTGTTACATACAATTTTAAGTCGTAGAATTTCAATATGCAATTGTAGATTGTGAAGGTATACTGGGATGGTATTGGTATTTCCCTACGCTGTGTCCCAGAGCGAAATGGTTTTCAATGGGACGCGGAGAAGTTTGCTTTGGACTCACCCTGCGCAACCTACCGGCAGGGTCCCTAGCTTGTTAATTAACAAAGGCAATTAAGAATCACACTGAGCGAAATAGAAAAGAGCAACCCTTAGAAGGTCAAAAAACGATTGAACAGCTATGGAAGAAAACATCAAATTTTTGATAGTAACTTTTGTAAAAACGAGGGGACCAGGCAAGGGACCAAGAAAATGCTTCTCCGGGCTCCCTGCCCCTCTCCCCCCGTAGAAACGCCACTGAATTTAATTTGCTGAAAGTAAAGCCCTTGATTTGAAGCTTGTGACAATAAAAAAATGTCCACCGCACTCTCTTGCTAATTTTCTGTTTCTGAAAACTATGGGTGCTAGAGCCTTAAGATACCCAATAGAACCAAGCAAAGAAAGATTTAGGCTCTGGTACCCAGGGTATTTTCTGTATAGGTGATGTGTGCATTTGAGCATAAAGGGTAGTTTATAAGCAATCGCGAATGCTGTCCAAATATAGGAAAGTCTGACTGCACAGCTTAAGCAGAGAATGTTTATTTGAATGCAGAGAAGTTCCACAAAGCCAAAAAGTAACCACCAACTACACAATTTAACAGTCCTCGCAAGACAATAGGTATTAATATGATTGATAGCCCATAGACATAGCTTTGATGGCAGACAGGCCCTTAAAAGAGACAGACCCAGAAAAATAGTTCGAGGGATATTTTCCGCCTCGTGGAGAACAGGCTTAAATTAAAAAACTTACAATAAAACAGGCTTGCAAAATTCAAATTATTCATGAAATTTTCAGGCTGAAAATTTGCACCTTTCTAGGAAAATGCTGAGCATAGATGAATCGATTAGGTGACACTGTGGCACAGCATAGGAATTCTCATTATGACTGTGAGGCCCACAAACGAACTCGAGGCTTCTCATACAGAAGCGAGGTCATGCAAATACACTGTGACATCAAACACTCCGATGAGCCATCAGAATCAAACA